GTGGGGGTGTTCGCATGCGGTTCCCCCACCCAGGGCAGCGTTTCGTGGCCCCATAGGGAGCTCCACCGAAGGCCCCAGTGGGGGTGTTCGCATGCGGTTCCCCACCCAGGGCAGCGTTTCGTAGCCCCATAGGGAGCTCCACCGAAGGCCCCAGTGGGGGTGTTCGCATGCGGTTCCCCCACCCAGGGCAGCGTTTCGTGGCCCCATAGGGAGCTCCACCGAAGGCCCCAGTGGGGGTGTTCGCATGCGGTTCCCCCACCCAGGGCAGCGTTTCGTAGCCCCATAGGGAGCTCCACCGAAGGCCCCAGTGGGGGTGTTCGCATGCGGTTCCCCCACCCAGGGCAGCGTTTCGTGGCCCCATAGGGAGCTCCACCGAAGGCCCCAGCGGCTGCTCTCGCATGCGGTTCCCCCACCCAGGGCAGCGCTTCGTGGCCCCATGGGGAGCTCCACCGAAAGCCCCCGTGGCGCAGTTCGCATGCGCTTCCCCCACCCAGGGCAGCGTTTCGTGGCACCATAGGGAGCTCCACCGAAGGCCCCAGTGGCGCAGTTCGCATGCGGTTCCCCCACCCAGGGCAGCGTTTCGTAGCCCCATAGGGAGCTCCACCGAAGGCCCGCCCCGGTGGCGCAGTCCGCATGCGGTTCCCCCATCCAAGGCAGCGCTTCGTGGCCCCATATGGAGCCCCACCGAAAGCGGCACCCACAACGCGTTACCAACAATTGCTTATGGTTGGGTCTTTCGCCAGGATAATTTCATGCTTTCCCCCTCCCCGCCCTCGGAGGCTGAGTTTTTTTCCCAACCATCCTGTGGTGTTGGGTCCTCGTTTTGAAGAGACGGTGCCCCGCGTTCCTCTCCTTCCTCCTCCCCCTCCTCCCCCTCCTTGCTTCTGCTCTCGGCACACCTCTCACACGTTTCGTAGCCCCATAGGGAGCTCCACCGAAGGCCCCAGTGTGGGTGTCCACATGCGGTTCCCCCACCCAGGGCAGCGTTTCGTAGCCCCATAGGGAGCTCCACCGAAGGCCCCAGTGGGGGTGTCCACATGCGGTTCCCCCACCCAGGGCAGCGTTTCGTAGCCCCATAGGGAGCTCCACCGAAGGCCCCAGTGGGGGTGTCCACATGCGGTTCCCCCACCCAGGGCAGCGTTTCGTGGCCCCATAGGGAGCTCCACCGAAGGCCCCAGTGGGGGTGTCCACATGCGGTTCCCCCACCCAGGGCAGCGTTTCGTGGCCCCATAGGGAGCTCCACCGAAGGCCCCAGTGGGGGTGTCCACATGCGGTTCCCCCACCCAGGGCAGCGTTTCGTAGCCCCATAGGGAGCTCCACCGAAGGCCCCAGTGGGGGTGTCCACATGCGGTTCCCCCACCCAGGGCAGCGTTTCGTGGCCCCATAGGGAGCTCCACCGAAGGCCCCAGTGGGGGTGTTCGCATGCGGTTCCCCCACCCAGGGCAGCGTTTCGTAGCCCCATAGGGAGCTCCACCGAAGGCCCCAGTGGGGGTGTTCGCATGCGGTTCCCCCACCCAGGGCAGCGTTTCGTAGCCCCATAGGGAGCTCCACCGAAGGCCCCAGTGGGGGTGTTCGCATGCGGTTCCCCCACCCAGGGCAGCGTTTCGTGGCCCCATAGGGAGCTCCACCGAAGGCCCCAGTGGGGGTGTTCGCATGCGGTTCCCCCACCCAGGGCAGCGTTTCGTGGCCCCATAGGGAGCTCCACCGAAGGCCCCAGTGGGGGTGTTCGCATGCGGTTCCCCCACCCAGGGCAGCGTTTCGTGGCCCCATAGGGAGCTCCACCGAAGGCCCCGCAGCGGATAGGGAGCTCCACCAGTGCGCGTTCCCCAGTAGCCCCATAGGGAGCGTGCGGAAGGCCCCAGTGGGGGTGTTCGCATGCGGTTCCCCCACCCAGGGCAGCGTTTCGTGGCCCCATAGGGAGCTCCACCGAAGGCCCCAGTGGGGGTGTTCGCATGCGGTTCCCCCACCCAGGGCAGCGTTTCGTGGCCCCATAGGGAGCTCCACCGAAGGCCCCAGTGGGGGTGTTCGCATGCGGTTCCCCCACCCAGGGCAGCGTTTCGTAGCCCCATAGGGAGCTCCACCGAAGGCCCCAGTGGGGGTGTTCGCATGCGGTTCCCCCACCCAGGGCAGCGTTTCGTGGCCCCATAGGGAGCTCCACCGAAGGCCCCAGTGGGGGTGTTCGCATGCGGTTCCCCCACCCAGGGCAGCGTTTCGTAGCCCCATAGGGAGCTCCACCGAAGGCCCCAGTGGGGGTGTTCGCATGCGGTTCCCCCACCCAGGGCAGCGTTTCGTGGCCCCATAGGGAGCTCCACCGAAGGCCCCAGTGGCGCAGTTCGCATGCGGTTCCCCCACCCAGGGCAGCGTTTCGTAGCCCCATAGGGAGCTCCACCGAAGGCCCCAGTGGCGGCAGTTCGCATGCGGTTCCCCCATCCAGGGCAGCGCTTCGTGCCCCCATATGGAGCCCCACCGAAAGCGGCACCCACAACGCGTTACCAACAATTGCTTATGGTTGGGTCTTTCGCCAGGATAATTT